GGAGGAAGCGGGGGCAGGAGCTACCGCAGCTGCAGAAGTGGCAGCCAGAGCAGCAACGGCTGCAGAAGCAGAAATGAAATCTTCCTACTATTAATTGAATCTATTAATCACTTTTAATTCATTATTATATTATGTCTCTGAATGGATGGGTGCTCCCATGGGGATGAGAATCAGGTACTGACTGAAGAAATCAAAAGAAAAATAGAATTCGGATCTTCTGCTTTGATTTTCTCTGATAGGATCTACTTGACTTCCACTCCCCACATGCCACATCATTTAAATTTCAATCCAAAGGATTTAAAGTTGACGCATCACCTTTAAAACAAAAACTCAAAATTTTCCATAATTAAAAAAAAAAAAAAAGATTTCCAAATTAAAACATCAAATTTGTTTAAATATGTCAGAGAACTACATTTGTCACATAGTGGCATGTAACGAAGAATTGACATTGAACATAACAAATTTAATATTTCCATCACATAATGGCATTTTTCATCAATTGCTTTTATTATCTTCTTACCAATCAGACAAAAGAAGGGTTAAATTTTTGAAAGTTACTTAATGCTCTTGAGAAATAAGTGTACTAAAAGATATGATTCTTCAATATACGAGGGCAAAATAGTAAACGCCAAACATTGAAATAAAATTTGAAGGACGAGTATATTCACCTACCAAATACAAGATAGAATAATCAACGTTTTAATTAGTCAATTATTTCATAATCAACTGTTCAATCAATTATGTTAGAATCTTCCCTTCTCATAAGGAAATAGCTTTGTCTCCTCCTTTATTTCTCTCATTCTTTACTCTCTTCTTTGCCTTAGGGAAAGTTTGGTTCGGTTTAATGTGAATCTGTTATCCGTGGCAAAAAAGCAAAATAGAGGAACCAAATCTAATCATTTCCAAAACCCAATAAACCGCGATGAAAACTTGAGGAGCTGATGCATAAAATAATAATAATAATAATACTAATCAAACAACACGTTAAATTATACCCCAAAATTAATATTAACTTGGTCATCCTTGCTATGGTCTAAATTAGAAATTTAGCCTTCCTCCCCTATTTAAATTTCTGATGCAGTCTGTTGACCAGTGTTTGTGCTGATTATTTAGATGTCACTACCCTGGTTGAAAACCTATAAGGATTACTAGAAATGTCAGTTAAATTTTCTGATTGAAATTGATTATGATCTTCTATTCGCCATTCTTGAGCATGATTAGTTGCAAAGGGGGTTTTCCTAGAGGGTATGGATTCTGGAAGTGCCTTTCCTTGTCATTTATAATTTCAGCCCCTATTTTGGGTGTTTTAGTGAAACTCCCAAAAATCAGTGTGCTGCATGCAAATGCTTCATCTTCTCTAATTCATGTGTTTTTGTTACTGAGGAAACCACATAAAAGAAAGAATAAGTGTCATGAAGCAAACCCCAAGGACAATATGAATTTTACAATCTAACCACAAGGATTGTGTGCATAATTTTATTTTTATTTTCTTTCTCTATCCTATCTGTGGACCCTTTGTTATAATCATTTAAAAGGTTTTCATTTTAGATAAAGCTGAAATGCAAAATATACTGGAAAAAGGTTTGCCGA